TATTGATTTCAGAGGGAGGAAGGGAGAGGGAGAGAGAGAGAAATATCAATGATGAGAGTCATTGATCGGCTGCCTCCTGCAGGCCCCCCACTGGGGATGGAGCCCGAAACCCGGACCTGTGCCCTCACCGGGAGTTGAACTGGGATCTCCTGGATCCTAGGTCGATGCTCAACCGCTGAGCCACGCCGGCCGGGCATAACTGACTCTTGAACAACACAGGGTCTAAGTGAGCTGACCCCCACACACAGTCAAAATCCTCGTATAACTTTTGACTCCCCCAGAAACTTAACTGCGAATAGCCTAGTGTTGACTGGAAGCCTTACTGATAGCATAAACAGTTGCTTAACATGTATTTTGCATGTCATATGTATTATATACTGTATTCTTACAATAAACTACAGAAAATAAATGTTATTAAGGAGATCATGAGGAAGAGAAAATACCTTTACAGTATTTATTGAAAAATATCAGTGTATAAGTGAGCCTGCACAGTTCAAACCCGTGTTGTTTGAAGGTCAAATATATATAATGGAATATTATTCACCCATAAGAAAGGAAACCCTGCCACTTGTGTCACCATGGGTGGAACTTGAGAGCATATGCTAAGTGAAGTAAGTTAACTACAGAAAGACAAACACTGCATGATCTCACGTATATGTGGGATCTAAAAAAGCCACACTCGTGGAAAGAGACCGATGTAATGTACAGCATGGTGACTATAGTTAATAATACTGTATTGGATATTTGAAAGCTAAGAGAGTAGATTACAAGAGACAAAAATTTTGTAATTATGTACGGTGATGTATGTTAACTAGATTTATTGTGGTAATTATTTTGCAATATATACAAAAACTGAGTTTCTATATTGTATATCTGGAATTAATATAATGTCATATGTCAATTATATTTCAATAATTAATTAGTTAAAAAGAAACAGGAAGCAGAATGGAGGTTGCAGGGGGCTGGGCATTGGGGGAAATGAGGAGATGTTGGTCAGGGGTATGAACTTTCAGTTATAAAATGAATAAGTCCTGGGGATCTAATGTACAACTTGGTAATTATAGTTAATAATGCTGTATTGCATACTTGAAATTTACTAACAGACTAGATCTTAAATGTTCTCACCACACACAAGAAATGGTCACTATGGGAGGTGATGGATGCCTTAACTCACTTTCTTATGGTGATCATTTCACAATATATTTGTGTATTAAATCATGTTGTACACCTTAAATTTATACAGCTTTATTGGTCAGTTATATCTCAATAAAGCTGGGGGAGGGGGGAGTAGTCCCCCAGTGGGTTACGTCATAATTAACGTAGCCAAGGCCAAGGTCCTCCACGGCCTTAACTACTCCCTGACCTCCACTCCTTACGGCAACGTGGGTTTCCTTGAAGTTCTGCACGTGCTTCCAGGCCTTGCACAGTCTGTTCCCTCTGCCTGGAATGCCCTTCCGTCCGTGACTCACCTGATCGTAACTTCCTTCCCTGCCGCCCTCTGAAATGGCGCTCCCGCCCTCGGCTACTCCCTCCCCTGCTTTATTTCTCTTCACTGCCCACGTTGCCTCCTGATAAGCACTTATCTAGCTGTTGTTTCCCTTCCCCTTGAGATATGAGCTCCATGAGGGCAGAGATCCGTCTTGCTCACTGTAGAATCTCCAACCCCTGGCACGGGGAACGTTTCTATCCACCTGGCCATCTCACTTTTTAAATACATTTGAAAGGAAATTGCAAGCACATGGTAAGTGCTCAGCAAATAGTTCTTGAGGGAACAAACACAGGTTCCAGCTGACCAAACGCACAGCCAGGCGCACTGAGCCCTAGATATGTAGGCCCCCGAATATATTCAAACAGGTGGGCAGACCCTTACACATATTTGCACCCCCAAAATGCCATGATAATTGGCCACTTTATGGCAGACCTTTTACAGGGTGGTGGAGGTGTGGTGGCGGCCAAAAGAGACCCAGCCCCTGCCCTCCCAGACCCCACAGACCATGGAGGAGACAGATATGAGACACACAGTCACACCAATAAATATACAGCATTCCCCGCTTACCCACAGGGGGTGAGGCCTGGAGCCATCAATAGTACTGACCTCTATATATACTATGCTTTTTCCTATCCATACCTACCTATGATAAAGTTTAATTGATAAATTAAGGCACAGTAAGAGATTAACAATAAATAATAAAATAAAGCAATTTTAGCACTGTACTGTAATAAAAGTTATGTGACTATTTCCCTCCCCCCTCTCGCAATGACAGATCTGAGAACCCACGGCTATGAAGTGACTAATGGGTGGGGAGCATCCGCAGCATGGATACGCCAGACAAAGGGATGGTTCACGTCCCAGGGACCGCGCAGAACTTCATCGCTCTACTCAGAACAGTGTGCAATTTAAAACTTATTGTTTATCTCTAGAATTTGCCATTTAATATTTTTGGGCCGTGGTTGACCGCGTATGACTGAAACACTGAACGTGAAACCGCGGATAAGGGAGGGCTACTGTGTCGTGCCAACCCGTGCAGCGTTGCTAAGAAAAGGACAGTGTTCCGAGTGAATGGCGGGACCTAGATTAGCCTGGAAAGGGCCAGCCTGTGATGCAATGGACGGGGGGTGTTGGGATGGGGCTGAGGCATGTGTAGGAGTTGGGGACAAAGGGCTGCCAGAGGGTGCCTCAGACCTGCGAGCAAGGGAAGGAAGTCTGCGGACAGGGAGGGGAGGGCCAAGTGGACATAAGGGGGAACCTGAGGCAAGCTGTCTGGGGTTTTATCTTGAATGGTTTGGGGTAAAGGAGGGAAAGGGTGATTTGGGATTGAGACACATTCCCCTGGCCGTGAGCAAGTTAGAGGAAGGGAGAGTGGAGGCAGGAAGACCAGGGAGGAGGCCAGATCAGGGGAGAGAACAGGGCAGGACGTGGTGGGAGAGAGGTTTGCGAAGCCTAGTCTCCCTGGGCCTAGGTGACTTACTGCCGGGTGAGAGGGTCCAACAGGACCCTGCAGGTCAGGCTTGGGTGGCAGGTGGATGCTGAGGCCATCACTGAAATGGGGCTCGAAGGAGGCAGCTCAGGGAAGCTGATGGTGTAGAGCCCTGAGTGCCAGGCTAGGGAGCTGGGAGCTCACCCCGAGGGCAGTAGGGAGCGAAGGTCAAGCAGGGGAGGGAGAGGTCAGGTGTGAATTCCAGAAACACCCCGCTGGTTGCTGAATGGGAGATGGTTTGGGGGGAGCAAGAGTGGAGGCCAGGAGGCCAGGGCAGGGGGCCGGCGGGAAAGGCTGGGGCTGCACTCAGGTGGGAGAGACATCAGAAGACTGAAAGGACAGGACTGTGTGATGAGCTGTAGGGATGACGACGCATAAACAGAAGGGTCAAGAGCAGAGAGATGGCTGCCCGGCTCCACCCACTCCCGGGACACGCACAGAGACCTCCATGTGCGAAACGCGTAGGGGCAGGGAGATGGACACGCAGCAGAGCCCACACCCAGGCACCGGGTCTGCAAGGACCAGGGCGCGCAATCCCACCAGAGGGACGCCGAGATACAGGTGACAGAGGAACAGAGATGGCATGCGAAACCTCAAGAAAGCCAGGCCAGTCGTCATCAGCGTGTGCAAAGGACTGCTCGTGCACTGGCCCAGGACGTCCTCCCCTGGCCTGCTTTAGACCTTACAGATGGGCACACTGAAGCCCAGAGAGGCCAGTCACCTCTAGGATCACCAGCGCCTGGTAGGGTTGGGATTCCAGCCCGGAGCTTCGGGCGCCTCCCCCGGGGTGCTCCCACAGGACACCCTGGGGTCCTGGTGTTGTTGTTTTTTAATTGATTTTTTAAAAAAATTTTATTGGTTTCTAGAGAGAGGAAAGGAGAGCGAGAGAAAGACGGATGTGAGAGAGACACATTGATCGGCTGCCTCCCCCACGTGCCCCGACCAGGGATCGAACCCACAACCTGGGCATGTGCCCTGACCAGGAATTGAATCCGCCACCCTTTGGGGGACAGGACGATGCAGGTCCTGTTTCTGTGCCCGGTGGGCCTTGAGGGCACCCCGGGGATGCCCACCCAGCAGGTGCTCTCCGGGTTCTGGTTTCTGAGGCTGCTCCAGGAATGGAGTTCCTGACCCGGCTTGTCTTCTGAGTGTGTCCCATGGGCTGGCAGCGTGCCCCTGCATGTCTTCTCCTGTCCCAGCCTCCGAGTGTCGATGACATCTGCATGTGCGTGTGTGCGTGTGTGTGCCTGTGTGTGTGCGTGTGTGTGTGTGTGTGTGTCCTTGGAGGAGGAGGGGCTGGGAGAGGAGCGCTCGGCGGGCTGGGTGGAGGCCGGGAGGGGGCATCCCGGCGCCGGGAGGGGAGGGGAGCTCCGCAGGAATGTTTACCGGACACCAGGAGAGCCCGGGGCTACAGCGCCCAGAGCGGGCCAGAGGGACACACAGCCTCCCAGCCTCTCTGGCCCCGGCTCGGGGGTGAAGCCCAGGCCCTGCCCCTCCGCAGCCTCCCTCCGGGGTCCCTTTAAGGCCGGGCTGGTCCTCTCCTCTCCCAAGTTAACCCCTCGAGGTTCCGGTGGCCCCTCGGCTCCCAGGCTCCCAGCCGGGCGGGTGGAGGC